CCGTGAGAGCGGCGGAGCCGCTGCCGGGCTTGGGGAGAAGCGCGGGGATCCGAGCCGTGAGGCCACTGCTCTTCCCAAGGGGTGCAGGGAAGCCGTTTGGGTGGGCTCGTGTCTGCAGGGGAGGTGTTCCCCCCCGGCCCCCTCCCTCTCCAGGGTCCCCCTGACCTGCGGGCACTGAAGGAAGGCAGGCTGGGTTGGAGGGGTTGCTTAAATTCTGGTTATTGGTTTGCCCTCTAATTGATTTGTGTTATCGTCTTGTTGTGGTGCCAGTTCCGTTTGCACTTCAGATTGCATTCTTGGCTCTGTATCTGCAGGAAGAATTGTGCAAGGTGCTTTTTATAGTCCGCTGATACTAAAAATACAGAATTATAGAATAAAATGTCATAAAATAGAAAACTATTAATTTTTGGCTTTGTGTCAGTCTAAAGCCATGCAGAATACGTGCGAGTGTTTCTTCAGTGTGGGATACTGTGTCTGTTAACATTTTGATAGTCAAACTTTTTGGAGGGTACCTGAGGGTCATTTTTTAGAGAAAAGGGCAGAAGAGGCATGGGTTTGGTTTGATTTGGCTTATTTTTTAGCAGCAAGTCAAATGGAACATTGCATTTAGAAATCACTCAGTATTTCTCTACAAAGGTAAATACCCAGAAACTCCGGATATTCTGATCCAGGTTAATAGATTATATCCTCAGATTCTCAAGTGGCCGTTCTTAAAGCTTACCTTTGCATGTAGAGGCTGAAATGATTTATTTAAAACTGCACATAAGATGTGAAGTATCCCGTGTTTCTACTTGGGCAGCCAGATAAATGCCCGCTTTTGGAGATGATGTGTAACCACGGCTCGTTAACTATACAGAGCATGTATAGAAAAATATGTATCTTGCTAGATCAGATGTACTAGGTAACCTTCAAAGTACTCTCTCAGAAGTAATCTGGAAAGTGATGTGGCAGTTCTACAGGCTATACTGTGGTAAATGCTGGAAAATAATACCAGTTTCCTTCTCTTCATATTTCTGCAGGTGAAAAAGGTGTGAGGGTCGAACTTAATAAACCTTCTGACTCAGTTGGGAAAGACGTTTTATAAGCCTTTGATTTAGCAACTCCCCGTGCTATTCTCCCTGATAAATCTTGATGCTATCTATTAACTTTTGAATGTGAATAACAAGATAAAGGAAAATCAACAACAAACCAACGTTTTCATAAAGAAGCAAACAGTGTTTCAATGTTGCATCGAATAGAAGATTCTTTGACTGCTGAAGCATCATACTATGTGATTGTGACTCCAGGCCTGTGACTGCTTATGTGAAGAAGATAAGCAATCAGTAAGAAACAGCATATGCATCTGGACGTAAAGAAGTGCCCTACATAGAATTTGTTCATCCTTATATTTTGCCAGACCTGTCATCCAGCTGAATCCAATTCATCTCTCCCTTTTTTTATATGGTAAAAGTTTGAATTTTGGGTAATTTTTGTATGACCAGGTACAGTTTATCAAAATTGAGTCTTAAAAAAAAAAAATAGAAAAACTGAAAAAAAAAGGAAAAAAAAAAATTACAGTATTCTCCAAAATAACATGGATCTATTTTTGTAAAACTGTTCATACTGTTCTCCTCTGCCATGAAAGACCTAATTTAATGTAAGGGTTGCCAGTAACTGATAATCACTTTAATTTTCTTTACACCTTAAGTCAGAAAAGGAGCACTTTAATTACCAGCTAAAAACCTGATTGTTTTATATCATATCTCACGCTAATCTTAACTTTTAAAGATTGCTGCTGTATTGTTTTTTGACTACGTCTTCTTGAACCTTATTAACAGAAGCAAATCAGTATCTCGCTATTAGTAACATTCAGTTTGTGGTTTTGTATGTTGAATCCACAGAGGGGAAGTTTCTGTCTCTTCTTTGTCTTTTGGTTTGGTTTTTTGTTTTGGTTTGGTATTTTTTGGTTTGTTTGTTTTGTTTTTTTTAAGTGACTGGCACTAAGTGAACTTGACACTATCGGTTGCTGTCGTTGGCTTTGGGGACCTGGTAAATACCATCAAGTTACAAGAATACACAAGGGCTTTCCTAGGCTATTAGAGGTACCCAGAACCTCCTTACGTACTTGACAGAAACGTTTGAGCTTTCTCCCTTTTCTAAAGAATACTTGCCACCCCCCTTTCCTTTGTATATAAGTTAATAGAATATCTAAAATTAACTTTTTTTTTTTAATTTCCTCATCAAATGTTGGTGTCCCGTGCAGTCTGTAAGTTGACACCTTGATCTATTATATAGTATCAAGGAGATGGTCGGCACGCTGAAGCTGAAGTGCATCACTGTAGGCTCCTTGTGCAATACATCTTTAGGTTTTCGCTGTGCTGAAGGATTTCCCCGAAAGGGCACTGCCCTTCGATCAATGCTGAGGTAGATATTTAGTAAGAAAACTTTTATGTTCCTTTACATTGTCTTCATTTTATCAAGGGACACATTGGAATAAAAGCGAGATGTGCAGAAACTTTGATATTCTTATTTTTAAGAAATGGATGGTTTGGACACTGATTTTCTTTTTTTTCCTTTTTTTCTTCTTTCCTTTTTTTCTGAGCTTTAAAAGCTTGAGAAAACTAAAGCAAACCTATGAAAGACAGCATTTATATTTACAGGAGTTTGGGTGTTGATCAACTAACTCACTGCAGTTTTCTATCTGTCCCTGGTTTCCTTACTTAATCATACTTAAGCTTACTTGAGACAGCTTTCGTGTTTGCAGGAGTCTGGGGGTTGATCAGCTTACCCACTGCAGTTTTCTATCTGTCCCTTGTTTCCTTACTTAGCCAAAAGAATGTGAGTGTACAGAAATATTTCTGTATATATTACAACTTGTGACAATTTTAGCATCTGTATAGTTTGTATTCAATTAGAGACCTTTTCTATGGAAAGCTCAGTAATTTTTTATTAAAAAGATTACTATTGTTCATGTAAAACATGAAAAAGCTAATTGTTTAGTAACAAACTGACAGAAAGGGGAAAAAAAATTCAGTACCAGTATATCATTTAGGAGAACCAACAGAAATCCCAGTTTCGTTTTGGTTTCGCTTTTCCTTTTTTTTAGTGAAGTTCTTGCCCTTTACCGTTCTCTTCCTCTTTCCTTCCCAGAAAAACAGACAGGATACCTTTACTGTAAGTGCCTCTGCCAACCTGGCCAAGGAGCGCAAATCTTCGTTACTGTCTGGTCTGCAGTGCATTTAGGCCACCAATGAACCAAGCAAAAAAGCCACCTCTTCTACTTCATCCTCTTTAGTCCTACTTTAACGGAGGTTTGGTTGGTTTTTCTTCTGGAAACGTGAGCGTAAGCCTTTGAACGCATTTCAGTCCCTCTGTCATTCAAACTTCCGCAGCTGGCCTATCAAATCCGAATCACACCGTAGGTTTGTGCTTGCCAGACAGGTTTAAAAAGTGCTTAATTTCTCACGCCATGTAAGTCGTTACAATAGGGTCAACCAATCAGGTCAGCCATTTCTACCGTGTCCTTCAGAAACTGTTCATTTCACGTCGGTTGAATATTCAGTCTTGAGCATCACCAAGCAGGTCCTTGTTTGGAAACTATTTTTTAAACTGTCTTATGATCTGTATGTGTCTAGTCCTGGTTGAAGATAAAGCTTCATAATGCTATTTTTATTCATGATGTTAGCCGGCTGTAAAATACGAGACCTTTATCTATAGCAGGCAAAGAAATTCAGGATTCATTTACAGGTTGCCTATAAAGTTGTGTAATTTGAAAAGCAGTGTTCATTATGAAAGAGCTCTCAAGTTGCTTGTAAAGCTAATCTAATTAAAAAAGATGATGTATAAAGGTTCTTGAAACTATGTGGTTATTTGTCATCTATGTAATTTTCAAGAACTTCTCTGCAGCAACTAATTTATAAACGCCCCCTGATAAAGGGAGCACGTGGATTTGTGGGGGGTTTGTGGGGTTTTTACTTTTAGTTGTGGTGGTGTTGGGGTTTTTGTTTCTGGGATTTTTTTAGGTGGGGTGTTTTGGTTTGGTTTTTTTTTTTCAAGTCAGAGCTGTTCCTGCTCTGGAGAAGGGTCTGCTGCTGTTCAGACTGCCTACAGTTACCTGCGTGTGGTGATCATTTTCCTGAATATTTTCTCCCTCAAAAACAGCACCAAGTTTAGGCTGACTGGAGAGAGATGGTGGATATCGTTTTTTCACCTCTTTCTGACAGGTACATGAGGTGCAAAACAAAAGTCCTCCTCAGATAGGATTTGTAAGATTTCATGGTAGCTCTTTAGTTTTACCTGGCTTGCAATGAATTGTGAGCCCTTTGAAGGTCGCAAAATCATTAAGGTTGGAAAAGACCTCTAAGCTCAAGTCCAGCCGTCACCCAACACCCCCATGCCTGCTAAACCATGTCCCCAAGTGCCACATCTACACATTTTTTGAACCCCTCCAGGGATGGGGACTCCACCACTGCCCTGGGCAGCCTGGTCCAATGCCTGACCGCTCTTGCAGTGAAGACATTTTTCCTGATATCCAACCTAAACCTCCCCTGACGCAGCTTGAGGCCATTGCCTCTCGTCCTATCACTGGTTACTTGGGAGAAGAGACCAACCCCCCTCTCACCACAACCTCCTGTCAGGGAGCTGTAGAGAGAGATAAGGTCTCCCCTCAGCCTCCTCTTCTCCAGACTGAACAGCCCCAGCTCCCTCAGCCGCTCCTCATCAGCCTTGTTCTCCAGACCCCTCCCCAGCCTCGCTGCCCTTCTCTGGACACGCTCCAGCCCCTCAATGTCCTTCTTGTGGTGAGGGGCCCAGAACCGAACACAGCACTCGAGGTGTGGCCTCACCAGTGCTGAGCTCAGGGGCACTCGGTGATCTGAAGATGGCAGAAGAACGGGAGAGTCTAGATGCCAGCCCATACGAGATACCACACAATTTCCCTAAGCTTTTTGGTGAGCTTCACAATGACTGTACAGTGATGAAGGAAGCATCTGGCTGGGTGAGCTTCTGCCATTGCTCTAACTCTTGTGAAGCCCCCCTGCGTGTGCTGGTCTGTATTGTGCCGGTTCGGGAAGAGTTTCCTGGATCTCCAGGTGGGTCTGCCAGCCTTGGCGCGCCTTCCGTGGCACTTGGGTACCTGTGGGGCTTGGTTCTGCTCTTGCTGGTATGTTAGGTCAAAACCCAAGTGCAGCAGCACTGACCTTGGTCCCAAAGTGCTTTGAGGCTTTTTCCATGCTTTGGTGCTGCCTAACTTCTTACGTGTTCTCCTGAAATCTCCCCTTCCCCATCTTCATTTTACATGGAATGAGGAAGAAGCCTTCTAGCACTTGCAATCCTCTTGGGTAGACCTGATGTGTTTTTTTTAATTATTGCGTTGTTGAGCACAATATGCAGGGGGCTTGTTTTCCATAGTGCAATCAAACACCACACCAGGGGAAGATGAAGTCTCTCCTTGGTGTTTCTCAAAAGAAAGGTGCTTGCAGATCCGCGAGGAAGCTAGCTGACAGCCTGTGTCTTACGTAAAACATCTGGCTGTGCTGACCACTTCACGGTCAGGAGTGGAAAGATCTCATCTCTAGGTCATGCTTGTAAGTAGAATCAGACTGGAAAGTGCCATTTTTGTGCCTGCTGAAGGCTTTGAAGAAGAGGGGATGCTGCAAAGTGACAACTGCCAGCCTCCAGCCCCAGGTTCCTAGCAGTGTACCTGCAGGTGTGCGGACATGCAGGTGGCTGCGGGCACTTGCAAATAGATAGTAGGAATTTATGAGTACTGAGCAGCAAAGGCTTGGAAGAAATTCATGGGACTTCACTGATTTGGATCTCATCTGCTTTTTTTTTGGGGGGGGGGGGGGGGGGGGGGGGTTGGGGATGGGAAACATGGGTCTCCCATCGTCAGCTTTCGTACAGAGCACTCACTGAGCTTTCTTCGCGGGGTAAAGTGAAGCTCAAATGCATCAAAGCCTGTTGTGCTGCTACGCTGCTGCAGGAACCGTGTTCGCTCGGGAGCGTCTGCTGAATCGGGAGCTGCCTGACCCTGGCTGCTGGGGGGGGAGAGCAGCTGGCAGGAGCAGGTTCAAGGTCCTCTCTCGTACCAGACAAAACCAGTTCCAGAGGATTCGCTCAGTTGATTTTTGCTGCCCCTTCTTCAGTTCCATCAAGCTTTTACCCGTAGCGTTGAAGTCGAGTGAATATGGAGCCCATCGATCCCTTTCCTGAAATGAGAATAAAAAGCCCCAGCTCCCAGATGGAGCAGAGCAGCTGACAGGAGCAGGTTCAAGGTCCTCTCTCGTACCAGACAAAACCAGTTCCAGAGGATTCGCTCAGTTGATTTTTGCTGCCCCTTCTTCAGTTCCATCAAGCTTTTACCCGTAGCGTTGAAGTCGAGTGAATATGGAGCCCATCGATCCCTTTCCTGAAATGAGAATAAAAAGCCCCAGCTCCCAGATGGAGCTGGGTACCAAGAGCTGGCTCTGCAAGCGGAACGGGCAGCTGAGATGCAGGTCACCAGCTCGCTGGGGATAGACTCGAGTCCTTAGTAGGATGAGGAAGGAATGAGTTGAATATAAATGGTGAAGTAGGATGGGAAGAGACCGATGCACGAGACCAAGACAAAAAACGTGTGTGGGGTGGGAGTGAGGAATCTGGGGCGTGCCAAGTGGCAATACGCTATAGGTGTCTGCCCTGGGGAGGAACATGAAGTGTGAGGAGAAAGAATACGCAATGCGTTTGCCTTGGGAAAGACAGTTGTTACACATCCCATCCATCCTTATACAGAATCACAGAATGTTCGGGGTTGGAAGGGACCTCTGTGGGTCACCCAGTCCAACCCCCTGCCGAAGCAGGGGCACCCACCGACG